AACTTCCTGTTCGATCAAGTCTCTGGCGTTTGCAACTAGCTTATTACCGACGAAAGAACTCCATATATTTTTTGGTGTGTTCCGAATGACTCGTCTCAAATGACGTTTTAGTTTTGAAGATTTCATAGATTCGTGACTGAGAACAACTTTGTACAGTGCGCTTTGTTTTTTCTCTATTACATTTCCAGTGATGTTAATGAAGCCGAATTTCAAAAATTCTTCTTCTTCTTCTTCGTTCTTAATTATTAGTGTTGAAGGGGATCGAGATTTATCTGCCAGTGGGTTTGAACTCGAGACTGTTCGAATGTATCAACCATGAGCTTTTGCCGACTCGACCACGCCTCCAACACAATTAAGCGGTACGTGTCAACTGGTTATGCGCCATTGAGGCCATTGACTCCGATTTCAGCCTGCTTTTCTTTTTGGATTTGCTTCCATAGCCTTTGTTCAACCAAGAACAAACTACAAGGCAGCAGTTGTTTAATTTTGGAGTTGTCTCTCCTAGAAGAGTGGCTGTCCCAGCTAACGAGCCTCATCTGCCCGAGGGTTCGAACTCGAGCCTTTTCGGTTTAGCAACCATGAGCTTTACCGACTCGACCACGCCGACCCCAAAAATTCTTCTAAATATTTATGTTTTGTTTCAAATTACTAAGGTTTAGTATACCAGTTGGCGACCCCCCAGAAAGACCTTCGCGACCCCCAGGTTGGGAACCCGTGCTTTAGTACATATCATAAACTCGGTGTAGTAATGTGTCAAATCCCCCCATAATCGTTTAAAATACAATTTTTAATTAGCCCCACCAATTATTTTTGACATGTTTAAAAATCAACATATATCACCATATCTTTTGGTGTTTTATGTTCAGCCCAGCTCATAATTATGTCACTGTTTTTCTTTTTTGCCTAACCTTCAGTGGCGTAGGCAGGGGAGAGTCGGGTTAGGGGGGGGTGTCATAACCCCCCCCCCCCCCATAGACCCCTATATATAAAAAGTATGAGGGGGGTGCAAATCAAAAGTTTGAGGGGGGGTGCAAATCGAAAGTTTGTCCCCGGGTAAAAATTGGAACCCCCCCCCCTCTTGAGACGATCCTTGCTACGCCACTGCTAACCTTCAACCCACAGACTTTGCGAGGTAGGGGGGATTTACCCTAGGGGGCGCCGAAATGGGTTGGAAAAAAAATATTTCATTTTAGCTGCAGTTTTGCATTATAAATTTTAACAAAATATATGGGGGCGGGTGGGGGGGACGGGGGACGCCAAATTAAAAGTTTGTCCCGGGGAGCCGGGTTTTAACCACACTTTTGTGTGCTGACGAAGACCTTGGGTCGAAACGTCCATCATGCTGCCTGTAATCATCTGCAATTTGTGATCATACTACCACTACCTGTTTTGATTTACTTCTTACAGAAACCTCACTGCTACAAACCACAGGGGACAGAGTTTCTTCCAGGCATCGCTTCGGGGTGAAGATGGGGGGGGGGAATGGTTCCCAGAAGAACGTCTACCCCCCCCCCCCCACGGAGAAAAAAAAAGTCTGAAAGAAACGCTGGAATCCACTCCCAGGGAAAGCGAAACAGAAGGCGCCCAAGAAAGATTTTGAGACTGAATCTTCTTGAAGAACTAAAGATAGCAGAGATGTCTTGGGAGGCTTCAACATCAACAACCGGGTACCGGGCAGTATGGAGAGGGTATGGTTGAGGCCCTATGTTCTAAAGCAGGGGTCTCCAAACTTTTCAGTCCGAGGGCCGCATTAACTATCAAATTTCAGTTCGGGGGCCAGTTTCTTCCAGGCATGTCTTTGATTTTTCTGGGCAAAGTTCCTCAGACATCACCAACAAACGATTTTTCCTTGGACAAAAAGATCTCCGCGGGCCGGATGAGAGGACTTCGTGGGCCGCATCCGGCCCGCGGGCCGTAGTTTGGAGACCCCTGTCTAAAGGAGTAAAGTGTATTATGTCAAATAATGCAAGTCATAATTCACAGCGGCTAGTCATTTCTATTTATCTTTTCGAGTGAATTCCATACTGTTTTTCTCATGAGACATGGGATCATTAAATCTAGTTAGTAATCCAATTTATAATGACACAATTAAAAATTGACATTTCTGTCTGTCGTGAAAAATAGAGTTCCCTCCCTCACCGAAACAACAACCCTGATTTACTATTCTGGCCAATAAGTTATGTCCCTTGCCAATAGTACATCGGCGATGATGTCGTAAGAATATTTAATTAGATATTGAATTAGTTATTAAAATGAATGTATATATAACCATATTTTACTACAAAAGTAGTGGCGATCGCTCGACCAGTCAGGTGAGTTGATATTCCAGTTAATGTTGTTTACAAATCTTAGAGAAGGCACAGGCAGTAGCGTAGCGAGGTCGGGTGTCACCCGGTGCGGCACTTAATGGTGTCACCCCAAGAGGCGTAGCGACCCTTCCCGTGGACAAACTTTCCATTTTCGATTTGTACCCCCCCCCTCAAACTTTCGATTTGCACCTCTTAAAAGACCATTCAACACTCGAATTAATCAATTAAGTGGAATTATCATTTTTCTCTATATATTGTGCTATTTTTTGCCTTGGTGTCACCCCCCTAAATGGTGCGGTCCGCACCCCCCGCCCTCCCTTGCTACGCCTCTGGACACAGGTATGTATGTGAGTAGATCATGTTTGTATAAGATTATAAGAGATAAAGTAATTAGCTATATTGTTATCTGCTAATTTGGGGTTTTAGTCGGCGTCGGAAGAGGGTGGGTGATGACCTACTTGAAAATTAGAAGTAGTGGTATAAGGGCTAGCGGCTAGCTAATTGGTAAAACTCTTATCGTTGTTTTATTTATTTCTTTTAATCAACGGGGTGAAGATGCGGGGGGGGGGGGGGGTGACTTTTTAAAAATTACATATAACGCTCACTCAATGGGGATGCTTTTTACCCACTGAGGTGTTGTGGTTAAGACGGGCTGACTCTGAGATTTAGGACACACTGACACCGACAGTTGTTGTCATGTACAGGCTTTAGTGGCATTACATCAAGCCATAAACGGTGATGGAGAACAACAGGTAAAAATCGCTCAACAAATAGCATGCAAAAAGCTATACATCAACAGTTGCGGTCCCACAGGGGCCGCAACCCAATGAATTACAATTTTATTCTTATTCCCCCTTGGCTGGTAACCATATGTGTTACATACATTTATACAAAATTATAATAATAACACTAATTGTTTTTAAAACATACCTATACGTTTACTTATCTGGTTACAATTTCAGAGAGAACAAAAATAGTGAGAAAAAAAAATAAAAAAGTCTAGTGACAATTTAAGCGCAATTTCCTTATGTTATCCATAACAATTTTTCATTTTTTGTGACCGAACGAAAGGATATTTTTTTGCGCTAAAAACCTACACGATGCTCAGTTTAAATTAAAAATATCATCCCATGCCTACACGATGCTCAGTTTAAAAATTCTTAATTAATTTTTGTGACCGAACGAAAGGATATTTTTGAAAACTTTCTTCGGCAATATTGTTCTAAATTATGGCAGAAATCGATTGGTAAATGTTTCAAGTCGGTAAGTGGTCTGGTTGCCGAGATATGGGCCAAAAACTGCATTTTTTCGAGTTTTTTTGGCTTTTCCGGGAAATCCAGGAAGGAATTCCGGGATTTTTTTGGCCCACAATCATCCTCGGAACTTGCTTAACATATTTGCTTTGGAACTAGTCCTCGATATTGCTTCGTTGAGGAGGATATACGACTTAAAGCTGCGGACACACATCCATCCATTGCGGACACACATCCATCCATCCAGAAATAACGAGTTAATAATCGCAATTGTCCGTATGGAAATTGCGCTAAAAACCACTATAAACAAATAAAATAAACAAGATTGTCTTTAAACATTTAACGCGAAGTAACACACATTATCCTATTGAATGTGTATTATTTTCATAAAGTAATTTTCATTTTTTTCAATGTTCAATAATTCACATACCAAATGCTTCCTTTTTCCGGAAATTGATTTTTCCTCAACAGCCCTTCAATCCGAAACAAAAATAAACATGAGATTTAACAAGTACCATCAAAACTCCTGCGGTTAAATGAGGAAATCAATTTTTTCATTTCAAGAATGTTCAGGCCGGAAATTAAATGTTCTCTCTTGATTTTAACCGAACTCAGTAACATAAAAATTATAATAGAGAGGTCCATATGTGTGTGTGTGTGGGGGGGGGGGGGGGTTGTTGGAGATCGTATTTTAATCACATTAATATCCGGGCATATAATCCTGGACGACATAATTTTGTTCTCAAAAAAACTTGTCGGTGACAGCCAAAAATGGAAGAAAACGAAAGAAGCCTGTCAATCTGAGCTATTGTTGAACAATGCGCTGTAGAAAATAGACTGCCACTTAGCTTGACGGATGTGTGTAACTGTTGTCTACTTTAATTGTGTTACACAAATTAAAAACTATTTAGGAGCAGTGGCTGGTGAAAAAATGACTCGGACCTTTCTAAACTGGATAGGAGCGCTTTTCGTCAAAGTGAATAACTAAAAACTATATATATATATATATATATATATATATATATATATATATATATATATATATATATATATATATATATATATATATACATATATATATATATATATGTGTGTGTGTGTGTGTGTATGTGTGTGTATGGTATGTATGTGTGTGTGTATGTATGTTGGGAGATATAGGGGTGCCAAATTGATCGTTAACCCCGGACGCAGGAATGTGTCGCTACGCCTCTGAAAGTTTGCCTGATGTCTGAAGAGAGGGCAAGGGCCCTCGACAAAAAACTGTCCACTCACGTTCTCCGAGTCAAACTATCCGTAGAAACTTTCTCCAACTGGCGTCTATTTTTTTGACAGGTGTCACCGACGACAAACTATCTAATCTACACCAAAACATACACCTATTATTGTACCAACTCTTCCACAAACCCCTGCACCAACCCCTACACCAACCTGTACCACCATGAACCAACCCCTACACCAACCCCTACACCAACCCTATATCAACCCCTACATCAACCCCTACACAAACCCCTACATCAACCCCTACACCAACCCCTACATCAACCCCTGCAACAACCCCTGCACCAACCCCTACATCAACCCCTACACCAACCCCTACATCAACCCCTACACCAACCCCTACATCAACCCCTGCAACAACCCCTACATCAACCCCTGCACCAAGCCATGCACCAACCCCTACATCAACCCCTGCACCAACCCATGCACCAACCCCTACATCAACCCCTACACCAACCCCTACATCAACCCCTACATCAACCCCTACACCAACCCCTACATCAACCCCTGCACCAACCCATGCACCAACCCCTACATCAACCCCTACACCAACCCCTACATCAACCCCTACATCAACCCCTACACCAACCCCTACATCAACCCCTACACCAACCCCTACATCAACCCCTGCAACAACCCCTGCACCAACCCCTACATCAACCCCTACACCAACCCCTACATCAACCCCTACACCAACCCCTACATCAACCCCTACACCAACCCTATATCAACCCCTACATCAACCCCTACACCAACCCCTACATCAACCCCTACACCAACCCCTACATCAACCCCTACATCAACCCCTACACCAACCCCTACATCAACCCCTACACCAACCCCTACATCAACCCCTACACCAACCCCTACATCAACCCCTACACCAACCCTATATCAACCCCTACATCAACCCCTACACCAACCCCTACATCAACCCCTGCACCAACCCCTGCACCAACCCCTACACCAACCCCTGCACCAACCCCTACATCAACCCCTACATCAACCCTTACACCAACCCATGCACCAACCCCTACACCAACGTGTACCACAATGAACCAACCCCTACATCAACCCCTTCACCAACCCATGCACCAACCCCTACACCAACCCCTACATCAACCCCTACACCAACCCCTACATCAACCCCTACACCAACCCCTACATCAACCCCTACACCAACCCCTACACCAACCCCTACACCAAGCCCTACACTAACCCCTACACCAACCCCTACACCAACCCCTACACCAACCCCTACATCAACCCCTTCACCAACCCATGCACCAACCCATGCACCAACCCCTACATCAACCCCTACACCAACCCCTACACCAACACCTACACCAACCCCTATACCAACCCCTGCACCAACCCCTACACTAACCCCTGCACCAACCCCTACACCAACCACTACACCAACCCCTACACCAACCCCTATACCAACCCATGCACCAACCCCTACATCAACCCCTACACCAACCCCTACACCAACACCTACACCAACCCCTATACCAACCCCTGCACCAACCCCTACACTAACCCCTGCACCAACCCCTACACCAACCACTACACCAACCCCTACACCAACCCCTATACCAACCCCTGCACCAACCCCTACATCAACCCCTACTAAAGCCCTCCACCAACCCTTGCGCCCTTCCATAAATCTAATCCCTGTACCAACCCCAATACCATCCCTATCACAACTCCAACCTTTGACATTACGACAACGGTGTTCAAGAACAAAAATTTGGAAACGAAAAATAATTTCAGACATCTCTAAAAAAAAAAACAGTATCACGGGGTGTTGAGTTTACCAAAATCATAAATCAAACAAGACCAGAACTAGCAGACGACAGCGCGCGTGAGCCCTGTGAGGCGCGCGAGATTTGCAGAGGCAAGAAACGACCGGAAACATAAAGGATTTCGTGTGACAGTGTGACGGAGGGTGAGTCGTGGGGTAGAGAGTGTCACATTAGTACAGAAGTGTTGTTTAGAGAATGTCACAGTAGTACAGAAAAGTGTTGTTTAGAGAATGTCACATTAGTACAGAAGTGTTGTTTAGAGAATGTCACATTAGTACAGAAGTGTTGTTTAGAGAGTGTCACATTAGTACAGAAGTGTTGTTTAGAGAATGTCACAGTAGTACAGAAAAGTGTTGTTTAGAGAGTGTCACAGTAGTACAGAAAAGTGTTGTTTAGAGAGTGTCACATTAGTACAGAAGTGTTGTTTAGAGAGTGTCACAGTAGTACAGAAAAGTGTTGTTTAGAGAGTGTCACATTAGTACAGGAAAGTGTTGTTTAGAGAGTGTCACATTAGAACAAGTATTGTTTAGAGAGTGTCACATTAGGACAGGAAAGTGTTGTTTAGAGAGTGTCACATTAGGACAAATGTTGTTTAGAGAGTGTCACATTAGTATAAATATTGTTTAGAGAGTGTCACATTAGTACAAATATTGTTTAGAGAGTGTCACATTAGTACAAATATTGTTTAGAGAGTGTCACATTAGTACAAATATTGTTTAGAGAGTGTCACATTAGTACAAATATTGTTTAGAGAGTGTAACTGTAGAACAGAAAAGTATTGAAACAGAAATTATTGTGTAGATAGTCTAACATGTAAACATAAATTATTGTGTAGATAGTGTAAAATTTCCACAGCGATTATTGTGTAGATAGTGTAACATGTCAACAGAAATTATTGTGTAGATAGTATAAAAGTAAGAAAAAACAATTATTGTGTAGATAGAGTAACATTTTGTAAACATAAATTAATGTGTGGTGTTACCGGTAGAGGAGAAATTTATTGTGTGGTTAACTTATCTAGAACACTAAAATAATTGTGTAGATATTGTAACATTAAAAAAAATTATTGTTTATATAGTTAAACAGTTTTTAAACCTAAATTAATGTGTAGTCTAACAGTAGGATAGGAATGCATTGTTTAGTTAGCTCAGCTTTTTAAGACAAAAGTTTATTATGTGGTCAATTTAACTTTTTCACAGAAAATTATTGTTTAAATAATTTAATTTAACAGAAAGACTGAAACTTATTGTGTGCTTAGATTACCTTTAAGACGGAAAATTCTTGTGTGGTTAGTTTAACTTTTTAAGACAAAAAAATCATTGTGTGGATAGTATAATATTAAGGAAAAAAATAGTGTTTAGATAGTGCAACATAAGGAAATAAAATGGTTGTGTGGATAGTTTAACATTCCAAAAGAAATGAATGTGTAGTGTAACATTAAGAAAGAAATGTATTGTGTAGATAATGTAAAATTAGGAAACAGGGTAAGTTATTGTGTAGTTTACCATTAATATTAAGGTATTAATAGGGTATTAATTAATAGGGTTAGTTATTGCGTATTTAGTATAACATTAAAACTTTTAATGTAATATCAAGACTATAAAGGTAGTTATAATCACTAGGTCTATCGGAACTTAATATGATTCTATTATTAGTAGAATGCTTATAATTGTTGTATTTTGGGTACTCTGGGTACCTTAAAATCTTGAAACGTACACTAGAAACAAATAGACGCCATGTTTTCTTTTCAATTGGAATCATGTTCACATTAACTAAATTAAGTTCGAAAATTCATATCTTTTTCTTGCTAATGAGATTTCGAATTTTAAGTGAGACAGACCGAGACCTAAATTCCCTTTTCCAATGACAATCGGCAACTAACAGAATTGATATCGAAGAGTACACTCGACTACAACATCACCTATCAACTTGACCAAATTTAGTATTTTGTAATACATGAGATCCTTAATTGACCAACATAATCCCCCTTTTAACAGACATCACCCCACTGGTTTAAGTAATTCCAGATAAAAACAATCTCTTTATTTGAGATTTGAACTGTTCACCTACGTGTATGTAGCTTAGCGCTCTAGCTTGTAGCCACGCAGTAACAGTTTAGGTCGTCACGATTGGTTAGCCACATTCGACCAATCAAATGTCAGCTGGTCAAAGATCACGTGGGCAGTTCTCGTTATCTAGCAAACGCCGTAGGGAAAAATTGTAAGTCGATATGTATGTCGTCCAGTTGTAGTTAGACAGAATTAGGATTGATTTAAAGCGATAAAGCTAGTTTACCAACAATTTGAAAAACTTAAATTATTAGGTATAGGTTGATTTATTGGTATTTTTTTGTAACTACGCCGGAAATTAAATTCGTAATGCAGTGTATAATGTGAAACTTGGAGTGCTTGAAGCTAGAAAAAATATAGGCAAATGTAACTCAAGGAAATTATTTCCCGCGCCTTTGTAAATCCGTAACGATTTTATATCATCCATTATCTTCCTTACAGCTAGTACTTCCCTGATCTCTATGTCTTATCACAGCAATAAGACACTCACACCATGTTGAACGCCAGCGAAGACCCGCTTCATTTTGTCGGGGAACCGCTTCCAGAACATTCTCGCATCATCTTTATCATCGTCGGCGTCATCATCGTCCTTATCGGTGTGGTGGGCAACATCGTTATCGTCGTTACAGTCGTCGTCAACAAGTCCATGCACAACCCCCATCATTACCTGATCGTTAACCTGGCGTTGGCGGACCTCTCGATTACAGGTGAGTGGATCCACTCTCAGCACAGGTAGTACGACTAGCTAAATAGGCAGTTACTATAGTACAAGTAGTTTGTTTAAAGGTAACTCCATTTTTAGTGTAGGTCAGGGGTTCCCAACCTTTTTCTACTCTAGAGCACATTCTAAAATATCGGTGGGGTGGCTGGCACCACCTATTTTAAATCGACAAACTCCTTCCATAACTAGTCATTTAACATTTTCCCATAATTTATTTTCTTATTTTCTTATTATATTATAGCCATAATGTATTAATAAATAATAAACAAAACTGTTTCAAAATTATAAAATTATTTGGCATTTTTTTTCAAATTGCATACACACAGAGAAATGTATTTACAAAACGTAAATAGTGCAGTCTGGCTAGCCGCTAGACAAGTTGGGAGAAGTATCGAACATATTTAATAAACCTAGGCAGTCAAAAAAAAAAATTTAAAACTGTAACAAATGAATAAAAATAAATCATATTTTAAAATAATGTTATGAAAAAAATTATGTCTCTGTTGAATAGTGAGAGGCGGGCACATACGAATCGTTCAGCGGGCGCCATGGCGGGCACAGGGTTGGGAACCCTTGGTGTCGGTAGTTTTAATACTAGTTCTTGCAGTCCTACCATTTTTCATATCTTTACGCTATCTATATAGGTAGTTCCACCATCTATATAAGTAGTTCCACCATCTATATAGGTAGTTCCACCCAGGGGCGTAGCGAGGGGGGGGGGCGGGGAGTGCGGGACCGCACCGGGTGACACCATTTAGGGGGGTGACACCAAGGCAAAAAATAGCAAAATATATAGAGAAAAACTCGAGGGGGGGGTGCAATCGAAAGTTTGAGGGGGGGGGGTGCAAATCGAAACTTGAGGGGGGGTGCAAATCGAAAGTTTGAGGGGGGGGGGGTGCAATCGAAAATTTGAAAGTTTGTCCCTGGGAAGGGTCTCTATGCCTCTTGGGGGGGGGGGGGGGCTGACACCATTAAGTGGCCGCACCGGGTGACACCCGACCTCGCTACGCCACTGGTTCCACCATCTACAC